CTGCCTTTAACTGACGGGCCCCACGACTCAGACCGGCGGCCTCGGGGGCCGGGAGCGCCAGGCTGCGGGAGCCACGTGCCGCAGCGGCTCTCCGTGACGAGGCGAAGGCCGGGAGCGCTGAGCGGCACGGCCAAGAGCGGCCCACGGCCGCGGCCCGGCTGACCTTTGTTCAGCGCAGAGGGAAACCGAGGCAAGCATGGGAGCGTGGGGCCATCAGAGGTGTCGGCCCAGGGTCCCGCAGGAGGCCTGAGAGCTGCATGGGTATCAAAGTGCAGCAAGCAGCATCCCGGCAGCAATGCACGCAGTGCGGGGAAGGTATATACTTGACAGCAAAAATGCCCTTTGCTTTGCAGTAAAGCCACAGTAAAGTTAAGGGGGGACAAAAAAAGTTAAGTAATCGGGATTTTTAGGTAGTTCCAGGCCCTTTTGCTCTCGCAGCCTCTAACGCTACAGGTGTGCGGACACGTACGCGGCCTGCGCTGGTCTCACTGGGGACTTGCAGGGTGGAAGCAAAGCGATGACAAGTGTAAGAAGCTTTGTTTTAGCCGTATTTTTGCCTTCCCCAGAGCTCGCCTTGACCCTTGAGGCGCTCGCACAGCACCTGGCTGCCTGCCGGGTGGGTGCGCGCAGGGTCCCCCCGACCCGGGAAGCTGCGAACGTCACCCCTGGACCAAAGCCCAGCTGTGGCGGTGCTAAGTGGGAGCTGAGCGAGGGGACCTCTGTCACAGCGCGACACAGCAGCCGTCCCGCACCGCCAGCGCCGCTTGCTGTCCTGCCTAGCACCTTCGCTTGCTGCTCTCCCCAGCCGAGGCCCCGCTTCTTTATATGAAACACTGACCGCGCGTGGCCTAGACGCGCTGAGGATACAGCCCTCTCCAGCAGACCTGTGCCAAGCTGCTGGCAGCATCGCCTGGGTCTTCCTAGTGACTGGGCCTGCCCCGGGGCTGGACGGTCCTGCCTGCCCACCCTGCTGGAGACCCAGCTGCCCCTGCCACCACGGATTTAGGTGTTGGGGCGCTGAGGGCAGTGAAGGTGGGGAAGTCCTGCCTCCTGCGCACGCTCTCAAAGGGCTTGTAATGAAGCACCAGTCAGGCATAGCAGGAGATTTTTTTTTTGTTCTCTCTCATTCTTGCTATCTACCTCAATGGTGAGGACGTGCCAGATTGCCTTCCTGTACCCTTAGGAGTGCCTGGGGTCATTTTAACACCTGCCAACTCAACAGCATTGTTCAGATGAAAGCGTTGCAGGAAAAGAAAGGCGTGCAGAAATCCCCTCGCCTCCACCCTGACACACAGCGCTGTAATCGCTGCTGGATGCCCAGCAGTGCTGCAGTTATTCCTCCAGCAAGTGCACTTCGTTGAAAAAGCACCTTTTCCTGACACAGGCCACTCTGTGGCAGGGCTGGGCCTGGGAATGTTTTTGTGTACAGTAGCAGGTATTTAGCCGAGCTATTAAAGCTACTTAAAAGGCAGATATTGACTGCTGAGAAAGCTGTGAAACTCTCTAGTAGCACCGATACTCTGCTATAGAGATAATCTTTTCACAAACAGAACCATGATGGATTGAGGAGGGGCAAATCAATGCAAACAGCCCAGGCCCTGTTTTCTTGTCCTCAGTGATGAAAACAGAGTGGAGGACAGGACAGAAAACCCACCCACAATTACTTATACCACACGTAATTTCTTCCACAAAATAGGAAAATGGGAGTCACCTTTAGTCTCAGTACGGAGAGGTGCCCACAGAGATCACAACATCTGGCTGGCTGCAGCAGCACGGAGCACAGTGCTGGATTTGGCACCGACAGCTTTTGTTTTATTGTTTTCACAAATCATGCTGGCTATTGGTTACAGGAGGATGCCTAAAATACAGTAATTTTATTATTAATATTACAGAATCACAGAATGGTTGAGGTTGGAAGGGACTTCTGGAGATCATCTAGTCCAACCTCCCTTGCTCAAGCGGTGGCACCTAGAGCACATTGCCCAGGACTGTGTCCAGATGGCTTCCCCTCCAGGGAAGGAGATCCCACAACCTCTCTGGGCAACCTGTTCCAGTGCTCTGTCACCCTCACAGGAAAGAAGTTTTTCCTCATGTTCAGATGGACCTTCCTGTGTTTGTGCCCGTTGCCTCTCATCCTATCGCTGGGCACCTCCGAGAAGAGTCTGGCCCCATCCTCTTGACACCCTCCCTTCAGATACTTGTACACATTGATCAGATCTCTCCTCAGTCTTCTCTTCTCCAGGCTGAACAGGCCCAGCTCTCTCAGCCTTTCCTCATAGAAGAGATGCTCCAGTCCCTTAATCATCTTAGTAGCCTTCCGCTGCATTCATTCCAGGAGCTTCATGTCTCTCTTGTACTGGGGAGCCCAGAATTGGACACAGTATTCCAGGTGAGGCCTCCCCAGGGCTGAGGAGAGGGGCAGGATCACCTCCCTCGACCTGCTGGCAGTGCTCTTCCTAATGCAGCCCAGGATACCATTGGCCTTCTTGGCCACAAGGGCACATTGCTGGCTCATGTTTAACTTGTTGTCCACCAGGACTCCCAGGTCCTTCTCCGCAGAGCTGCTTTCCAGCAGGTCAGCCCCAGCCTGTCCTGATGGATGGGGTTATTCCTCAGGTGCAGGATCTGCCCAGCTCTCCAGCCTGCCGAGGGCCCTCTGAATAGCAACACAGCCCTCTAGTGCGTCAGCCACTCCTCCCCGTTCTGGATCATCAGCAAACTTGCTGATGCACTCTGTCCCTTCATCCAGGTCACTGATGACTAAGTTAAACAATACTGGACCCAGTATTGACTGCTGGGGGACACTGCTAGATACAGGCCTCCAGCTAGACTCTGCCACTGATCACAACCCTCTGAGCTCTGCCATTCAGCCAGTTCTCAATCCACCTACCTCACTGTCCACTCATCCAGCCTGCCTAGGAGGATGTGATGGGAGACAGCGTCAAAAGCCTTGCTGAAGTCAAGACATCCATGACTCTCCCCTCATCTACCTAGCCAGTCATCCCATCACAGAAGGCTATCAGATTAGTTAAGCATGATTTCCCCTTGGTGAATACATGCTGACTACTCCTGATCACCTTCTTAGCCTTCACATGCTTAGAGATGGCATCCAGGATGAGCTGTTCCATCACCTTTCCAGGGATGGAGGTGAGGCTGACTGGCCTGTAATTCCATGGGCCTTCCTTCATGCCCTTTTTGAAGGCTGGAGTGATGTTTGCTTTCTTCCAGTCCTCAGGTACCTCTCCTGTTCTCCATGTCCTTTCAAAGATGATTGAGAGTGGCCTAGCAATAACATCCGCCAGCTCCCTCAGCACTTGTGGGTGCATCCCAACTGAGCCCATGGACTTGTGGATGTCAGGTTTGCTTAAACGAGCTCTAACTCAATCCTCCTCCACCAAGAGAAAGTCTTCCTTTCTCTAGACTTTCTCCCTGGTCTCCAGGGTCTGGGATTCCTAGGGCTGGTCTTAGCAGTAAAGACTGAAGCAAAGAGGGCATTCAGTATCTCTGCCTTCTCTGCACCCTTCATCACCAGGGCCCCTGCCCCATTCAGCAGTGGGCCCGCATTTTCCCTAGTCTTCCTTTTATTACTGATGTATTTGAAGAAGCCCTTCTTGCTGTCCTTGACATCCCCTGCCAAATTATTAATAATAGTTAGCGTTCTGACCAATGGCTCCGGTTCCTCCTCCATGGCACTGTGCTATACTTTTGTAATGCTGTCTGCTGGCCTTGCTTCAGCTGTCTTTTCTCTTTCTGGATGGTATGGCATGACATCCACCCTATTGCTTCTGAAACCCAAACACCTAGGCAACTTCTGTCCTTTTTTCAGAAGGCAGCAGGCCCCATAGCTGAAAAACAAAAGGCTAATCACTACCACCAGCACAGCCAGAGAACTATTTCCTTTGGTATGTGGACAAAGCCACCGAGGACTGCTGCTTATCTTGACTGAGAAGTTCTTTGTCTTGTCTTGGTAGGAGCAGAGCGTTTCATTCAGGTCCAGCACACTCACACTGGTCGCCTGCAGCATGTCCAGCCAGGTCAGTGCACAACAGCTAAATGGGTTTCCAGCAACAGACATGTGCTTGAGGCTGTGGGACCAGCTCGCAATAGCCACCTTTTCAAAGGCCATCAGGTTGTTACTGCGAATGTCCAGGCTTTCCAGTGGGGAACAGAAAAGGCCTGCGGGAAGAAGGCTCAAATCATTGTCTGATAAGTCCAAAACTTTCAGCCTGTCCAGACAGGGGAACTCTGTCTGGCCGTCATGCATTTGGTTTCCTCTCAGAGAGAGTTTCTGCAAGGAAAATTCCAGCCCCTCCAGAGCTTCTTTGGGCATGAACAAATCCTTGTTCTCAGACAGATCTAATGAGATCAGAAGGGTTTGGTTGAATGTGTAGGGATACAGCCTTGTAATGTTATTCTTACAAAGACTCAGATGCTTCAAGTGAGGTATGTTATAAAACGCAGTGCAGGTACCTCCTGGGGCTGGCACACGAGACCCCCCTTCTGAAATCTCTCCTTTATTAGTTTCCTGGCTCTCACAAGGTTGGAGGCTGTTGGAACCAAGATTGATTGTTTCCAAATGAGGCAGAAAATCAAAAAACCAATGTGGTAATAAGTGAATGAAATTGCCGTGGAGATCCAGTGAGTGCACAGACAGAAACGCATGCTCCTGAGACACAAGTGACTTGTTATTTTCTGTGTCACCTGTAAGTGACTCCTTGGTTATATTCTGGAGACAATTCATAGCCACATTGAGATTGTGCAGAGAGCTCAGACTGTGAAAGAAAGTAAATGGAAACAGATGCAGCTGATTATTGCTGAGATCTAAGTCAGTTACATGGGTCAGACTAGCTACAGTATTCAAGGACTTATTAAGCCTTGCCATCTCATCATATTGCAGTACGAATTCTGCTGGATGGTGTGAACTTGGGACCAGTGAAGCAATGGCATTGTTGGAGAGGTTTAAGTGTGTGAGATAATGTGCTTTGGGGAGCTCTGGAAAATAGAGAAGTCTGTTATGACTCAAGTCTAGCACTTGAAGCAGGTAGCGCTCTTTTCCCTCCTCTGAGACAAAGAACTCCAGGGCATTGTGGCTGAGATTTAAAACGCGCAGCTGTGTGAGAGTGAAGCCAGAGATACAGTGGAGGGAATTCAAAGCTAAGTTCAGCACCTTTAGGTCTTTCAGAACCTCAAAAGCTCCCTCCTCTATTTCCATGATATAGTTGTTGCTGAGGTTGAGCTCACTCAGCTGTGGCGTACTCCAGAAGATACCTGCCGGCAGCCTCGTCATCTTGTTCCCAGATAGATCCAGCTTTTTCAGTGTGGTGAGACTGCTGAAGTACCAGCCTGCCATGTGACTCTCCAAATTATTTGCTGACAGATCCAGGACCTCTATATTCCTGAGCAACCTAAAGGCTCTCCCATTAGTGAGGTAATTGCGATCAAGGTGGTTTGATCCCAGGAGGAGAGAGTGAAGATGGGGTAGCTGAGCAAGGGTCATCTCAGACACAGTCTCCAGCTGGTTGAAGCATATGTCCAGGTACTCAAGCTGTCCAAACCAAGGCATGTGGCTGTCTGACAGGTTTTGGATGAAGTTGTTGGAGAGCTCAAGGTACTTAACTCCTTGTCCAAGCTCCTTTGGAAACTTGCGCAGGCCAACACCTTTGCACGACACCTTCGTGGGGCTCTACAGAGAAACAGGAAAAGCCATCAGTGTGAGAGAGGGTGTACCAACCAGACTTCCAGCCAAATGAGCTGCTGTTCAAGATGTACGTGAGACGTGAAACTGTAGAAATGAGCACCACTCCCAGTTTCTAAGCCCAGGATAGGATGGGGCCAGTCCATTTAAAGCCAGTCTTCAGGAGACAGGAAGCTTGTCCATAGGATTAAGGTGAGCTTTCCAAGACTCTGCTTCAGAGGTAAAGGGGAAACTAGCTTCTGTGGTTTCTTTTTGTGGAAGATGCAGTTCACTGGTTTGCACTGCTCTCCGATAGCGTCATCTGAGCCAGCAGCATGGCTCACATGCCTCTCAGCCTTGCTCCTCTGTCTGCCCCTGGAACAAGGCCAGTGCAAGCAGAGGACAGCAGCTCCTGACATATGATCCAGGCTGGTGTCACTCATGGTGGGGCACAGGTACCGTTTCAGTGACCCACACTGCCCAGGCTGCAGATGGGTACAAACTCAAATGGGATCCACAAAACGTTATCCAAGAGCCTGTGCCATTAAATTGCACCAATGCTTGCTCCGTCTCTGAGTCTCAGCCCCCAGGGCAATGTGCATTCTAGCAGAGTACAGAGCGGGGAGAGAAACCTCTGTATGGATCTACTCTGTTGCTTCTGATGCCACAAAGAGAAATCTCAATCTCTGACCCCACAAGCTATCCTCACATGTTGCCCAGCAAGCAAGACGGGCAAGAGTGCTGCAAGCACTGAAGAAGCCACCCTTCACCCAGCAGTCTGGCTGGGATGAGCCCAGCCTTTGAAGGGCACTAAGGAAAGACATAGGGCTCTTTGACCGGGAGAACCCAGGGACTGTTCCAGGAGAGTCCCTTCCCATCTGGGTGGAGAAGGGCACCATTCTGGTGGGCTGCGCTTTCCCTCTCCTTCCAGACTGGTTTCCACAGGAGGGCACCCCAAGGGGATCACCTTGGTGGGGAGAGACAGAAACCAACAGGAGATTCAGAAGCGCCATTGCACGACCAGGCTCCTGCCTCACTCACATCTGCAGCCGCTGCCTGGAGACGCACACAGAAACCTGCTCTCCATCCTGCTTCTGAGTGAATGTCTTGAGATGATGTCCCGATGGCAAGGACTGCTGAGAGATGACACCAGCCCAGCAGTGACACGAAAGCAGCAGGATGCCATGAATGGCCAGGAGGGCAGGCTGCAGTGAAGCAGGAGAACGGCTTAAAGAGAAGTGAGCAAAGAGTATGAAGGTGGAAAGACAGGGAAGGTTAAAAAGATGGAGCCTGAAATGATATTAGAGCTGTGGAGGAAGAGTTTCACCCTGTCTTTTTAAACCTGTGTCCTCTCTGCACTGCACTGATGTTCACAGCCCATTTCTGACCCGGTGGGGAGTACTCTGGCTATTAAATCCCAAAGGATCCTTGGTAATCATCCTTACCTGCTGGCATGGTAGAGGCTTGGGCCTCACTTCCCCACTAGACTGGGCTTTGAGAACAGATGGGAGCAGGCAGAGCAGCAAACATCCTCGTTCAGTGAGCCGGTGTTCGAAGAAAAGCATGCTGGGCTCCGGGAGCAAGCAGCCCCTTGCCACTCCTCCAGTGCTCTCTTGTAAGCTCAGCTGGAGACTGGCTTTATATAAATAGGCTTCAGCATGGGATGGGGGAAGGAGATAGTGCATGTGGGTGTTCGTAGCTACGGAAGTGGGAAAAGAAAGACATAAGCCTACAGAGGGGGAAAAACAGTGCACAAAGCCACAAGGAAGGGAAAG